GTACTATAGTAGTCCCATTATAAGTCACTGATCACCTTCATTACTAGTATAAAAAAAAAAATCCTATATCCTAGTTTGTAGACGCTATAACTTTCACACAAACCAATCAATATACACTTATTGGGATTTTTTTTCTACCATACTGTATGGCAGAATACATTTTGGCATACATTTATGAAGAAATTTAATTTTTTTTATTTTTTATTGGATGTGTTTTATAGCAAAAAGTAGAAAATATTGTTTTTTTTCCAGCATTTTTTGAGTCTTTTTTTGTTTATATCCCAAAAAATAAAAAACCCAGAGGTGATCAAATACCACCAAAAGAAAGCTCAATTTGTGTGAATAAAATGATATACATTTTGTTTGTATACAGCATTGCATGACTGTGCAGTTAACAGTACAAGTAGGATAGTGCAGAACAGCAAAAAATGGCTGGGTCGTGAAGGGGGTAAAATCTTCTGGAGCTCAGGTGGTTAAACATGTCATATAAAATACCCTATTGCTTTTAATACTTTATTACCACATGGAGCACTCTCCTGTTCTCCTCCTACGCAGTACTGCATTTATTTCTTAAGTATACAGTACATGTACAATCACTGATGCATAAAGACACTAGATCATAGCACTATCAATACAAACTCTCTATAAATACATTGTGCATACACATACAAACAGTGTTTCAAATAGATAACTATGTGTGCATTTTTCAATGTGTAATTCCACAATAATAAAAAAAAAAAAAAAAACTGCAGTATCTATTTAAGGAAGTATCTGCATTGCATTTTTTGAGATATTCTTTTCCAATCTGATCAATTACATATCAAAACAAAAAGCCCTTTCTCTTCTGCTTCTCTGTTCTCTCATCTTCTCATGGGGTCCAATTAAGCAGCTTTTTTAACCTGGGGCATTTCTTTCTGATTAGATCCCAGTGGACACAAGAAACTAAAGTGATGAAGGCAGAGAGATGAAGCTATATTCCTATAGTTTTCAAAATAAGCTTGGCTGGTCTTCATTTCATTTCCTTATATAAATGTGTAAATACACTTACCTCCATTTGTTTTGTTATGAGGGCTAAGCGTATTTATACACTATTAAATGACCAAAAACAACTGCTGCAAGTATAAAGGTGCCTGCACTTACCTTCAATATGGCCAGTTACTAGGTTGTTCTAAGCTTTTAAAATTTCTTGCTGCAACTACCCCCCCCCCCCCCACCACCACCTTCACCACTACCACCTGCATTTCCACTGGGCTATCACTATAAAGGGCAGCCTTACTGGCCAATAGAAATGTGCAGGAGGCAGTAAGAGGTGGTCAAGCTTTGGTATGATGAAGAGGTTCTAGAGCTGAACCTGCCAGAATGTTCTCCATATTGTTTTAATAACAAAGCTATGAAGACTGGTGCAGGTATGTTCAGAAACCTCAATGTTCCTGCATCTTATACCTGCAGCAATTTTTTTTATTTTTTTTGTAAAATCGTGGATAGGTAGGTGCTTATTAAATACAACCTGACAAATGATAACAAAATGCTCTCACAACAACATAAAGTGACTTACAGTCCCAGACAAAATATATTAAACATATAGTGAATATCAGTCCCATAGGATAGTATCCCATAGATCAAAACAATTTTGTTTTCCACCACGTGTGTGCAATAAATGCATTCCAGAAATTATTGACCCCTGTTAAGGTGGTCAAGTAGCGCTCTGTGGTCATGCAATATACAGGTAGCCATCTGTAGGCTCTCATGGAACAGGCCTCCTGATTTCCTAATATGGAATGGTGATCCAAGGAACAAAGGATAGTGACCCCTGGATAGGTGGTCACAAAGCTCTGGGCAAACGGATATTGGATGGATATCTCCAAATGCCCTTAGGATAGGTAATGCTCCAAGTAGCTCAAATAAAATGAATAAATTAAAATGCTTTAAGTGCATTGTTTATTAAAGACCATGGTTCAAATAAATGAATTGGCAATGCACTCACATGCACAGGTGTCCAAATACCAGCAGAAGTCTGTGCAGCCTGTGTTTCATAGATCGCACTGATAATAGCCGGCATTCGCTCCAAGCCTCACTACCAGCGGGCCAGACGTGATGCCATAGGGACCCGGAAGTGACGGGATCACAGGGTTTTTTTTTTTTTACATTTAATCTCCTGAAAATGTTGCTTTAACAAGTTCCTTTGAGTTTACTGTGTGAGCTGCTTGCCTCCTTGTTGTAAGTTGCACTATGGACAAGGGAAAGTTCTAATAACATTATGGTAATTCTGGAAGCTGTTTTTATTTCTTATTAGATACCTACATATTTGCGCTTCTGTAAAATATCAAAAAAGGTCAAAAGGATATACTATTTTTGGAGAAATAAATTTGGGGCAGTTTTGTGTGACATGACAATTTCAGTAATACTTTATCATATTTATTTAACGCATGCAAAACTCTAACCCTAAACTAAACATTGACCAAACCTAATCCTTTATCTATACTCAACCCCAGCCCCAAACTCTAAACTTGAACCTAAAGATTAACAAATATACTATCACACAAAAACCCACTAACAATTGTATTATCATGCTGATGCCCATTTTGAAATGTACGATCATGTCAACACAAACTATCAGTTGTTCTGGACTACCTATTCCCATTCTCATTTGATACTATTACAAAATCGAAAATTGCTCTAAAATACAACACTGAAACTTCTTCATCAAAGTGTAGAGGCAAAGAAAAGCAGGCAACAAAATTAGAATTAAATATAAAAAATACTATAAGAATGAGAAGATTGCTCCTGATCCAATCACATGCCTTCTGTGTGCCTCGGATTATTAAATGATTCCTGCAATGACACGTTACAATATAGAAACCTCTATACATTGTACGAAAAAACTATTAAACACTAGATATCACCCAAAGCACCCACAAAACAAACCAGGATACACCAGGTCAATTCTAACCTGATGTGAGAAAAGTTGACATACCAACACTGTAACACCCTAATACATTTCTGCAAGTATGGCAGGGTTTGATGGATATCTCAGGTCTTGCTCCACCGCAATAATTTAAGATAGGTTGATGCAAGGGTGAACCGAGACAGAAATGAAATCTAATACCATGTGGATGTGCAGTTAAACTGATGTATGATTTTGGAGTATTGCATAGTACAGCTATAGACAGGTGCGTATAGCTGTTAGTTGTGTGTGTTTTTGTTTTTTTTTTTTTTTTTTTTCCTTTTCTTTTTTTTCATATGGTGTTGTACCAGTTTTAACATAACTCAGTCTGTATGGAAAGGATCCAAGGGTTGCCAAGGGCAGCACAGTGGCTAAGTGGATAGCAATTCTGCCTGGCAGCACTTATGGTCATTGGTTCAAATCCCAGCCAAAGCACTGCCTCCATGGAATTTGCACATTCTCCCTGTGCCTGTGCAGTTTTCCTCCAGGTCATCCGGTTTCCTCTAACGCTGGTAGGTTAACTGGCTCCTGTCTAATTTGGCCCTAGTATGTGTATGTATGAATGTGAGTTAGAGACCTTAGATGGTACACTCCTTGAGGGTTAGGGACTGATTGGAATGTACAATATATATGTAAAGCACTATATAAATTGACAGCGCTTTACAAGTACCTGTAATAAATAAAATAAAAATATTCAAGATGGAAATTATGACATTGTTTATGCTGATACTCCTGTACATATTTTGATCATGTAACAGCATGTATATCTCACTGTTTCAATAAAACTTAACTGGATTAGAAAAAAAAAAAAAAAAGAAGGCTGAGAAGAGATGGACTTGAGCAATAAATTGGCATTACTTCCTTCTTTTAGTGACCTGTTGAATGTATTAAAATCAGATTTTCAAGCTTAAAATTGCTTTTGCCTATAAAGAAAAATGAAATTGACAAACATTGGAGGTGAAGTAACGAATGTGAAATGATAAATTGAAATGCAATAAATCAATCAGGAACTCTGGAGGACAGAGAGATACACTGGAGGCCTATTACACAAGCACAATATGGGTTCACTCCTAAAATAATCAATTCCGTGTGACTATTGTTCATCACACACTTGGAAAAGGTCTGCTTGCCTGAAGTGAAACCAGTGGGAATAATTAGTGTCTCTTATTAAGAATAATTAGATCATAGAGCTGAAATTCTGTCAAATTTTATGCTCTTCTGTAATATTTTCGAAATATTTGATTTTACAAAAGCCCTTTATGTAAGTAAGGTTCATAATTCTATTTTTTAAACCGTAGTAGTAATAAAAAATTAATAAATGTGTTGATTCCATCATGGAACAAAATCAATTTTTACTAGTTGAGCAGAATGTTATGTTGCCCTAGCAACTCATCACAACACTCTTGTAACTGTTCGGTATTGAATCCTCTGCGAAAATTGGGAGTAACATCTGGGAGTGTTTGGTAATGAAGGCTAAAGGATACAATTTTGATTTTATAAAGTGGTGATTGAAAACAATGGGAGATCTAATATAGGGGCACAGGGTAGCATCATAGGTAGAGATGAGCGAATCGAACTTGGTGAAGTGGAATTCGTTTCGAATATTAGGAAAATTTCGATTCGCGACGAAATCCGAAAATATTAGCATGACTTCGGGATGCGCGGAATCGAAATTTTTCCTAAAATGGCGGCGACATGTGTGCGGCGACGGAGCGGGGATCTCTGGGAAGGCGCGCAGACAAGGCGCGCTGACCCATTATGCATTCATTCATGACATGTGATCGCATTAGCCAATCAGCAGCCAGCCAGCCAGCACTGTGTAATGGTCGAGCTATAAATTGCGGCCATTTTAGAATTCTGCATTAGCCTCCAGTCATTCAAGAGAGGCAGAGCTGTCTGTATTCAGGGAGAGAGTTAGGGCCACAGAATCGTTACTTAGGACACAGAATCGTTACTTAGGGACACAGAACCGTTACTTAGGGACACAGAACCGTTACTTAGGGCCACAAGAAAACGTGTACTTAGGGACACAGAACCGTTACTTTAGGGCCACAGAATCGTTACTTAGGGCCACAGAACCGTTACTTAGGGCCACAGAATCGTTACTTAGGGCCACAGAACCGTTACTTAGGGACACAGAATTGTTACTTAGGGACACAGAATTGTTACTTAGGGTACAGACACAGAATTGTTACTGAGGGGCACAGAATTGTTACTTGAGGGACACAGAATTGTTACAGAGGGACACAGAATTGTTACTCAGGGACACAGAATTGTTACTCAGGGACAGACACAGAATTGTTACTGAGGGACACAGAATTGTTACAGAGGGACACAGAATTGTTACTCAGGGACACAGAATTGTTACTCAAGGACACAGAATAATTGTTACTCAGGGACAGACACAGAATTGTTACTGAGGGACACAGAATTGTTACTGAGGGACACAGACAAATGTTACTCAGGGACACAGAATTGTTACTCAGGGACACAGAATTGTTACCTGAGGGACACAGAATTGTTTACTCAGGGACACAGAATTGTTACTCAGGGACAGACACAGAATTGTTACTGAGGGGGACACAGAATTGTTACTGAGGGACACAGAATTGTTTATCTCAGGGACAGGACACAGAATTGTTACTGAGGGACACAGAATTGTATCTGAGGGACACAGAATTGTTACTGAGGGACACAGAATTGTTACTCACAGAATTGTTATCAGGGACACAGAATTGTTACTCAGGGACACAGAATTGTTACTCAGGGACAGACACAGAATTGTTACTGAGGGGACACACTACAGAATTGTTACTGAGGGACACAGAATTGTTACTGAGGGACACAGAATTGTTACTGAGGGACACAGAATTGTTACTCAGGGACAGACACAGAATTGTTACTGAGGGACACAGAATTGTTACTGAGGGACACAGAATTGTTACTGAGGGACTAACAGAATTGTTACTCAGGGACAGGACACAGAATTGTTACTGGAGGGACACAGAATTGTTAAACTCAGGGACACAGAATTGTTACTGAGGGACAGACACAGAATTGTTACTGGCACAGGGACTGAGGGACACAGAATTGTTACTGAGGGACACAGAATTGTTACTGAGGGACACAGAATTGTTACTCAGAGACAGACACAGAATTGTTACTGAGGGGGACACAGAATTGTTAACTGAGGGACACAGAATTGTTACTGAGGGACACAGAATTGTTACTCAGGGACAGACAGAATTGTTACTCAGGGACAGACACAGAATTGTTACTCAGGGACATGGACACAGAATTGTTACTCAGGGACAGACACAGAATTGTTACTGAGGGACACAGAATTGTTACTCAGGGACACAGAATTGTTACTCAGGACACATAATGGTTATGTGGGACACAGAATTGTTACTGAGGGAAAGGGACAGACACAGAATTGTTACTGAGGGACACAGAATTGTTACTGAGGGACACACGGAATTGTTACTGAGGGACACAGAATTGTTACTGAGGGACACAGAATTGTTACTCAGGGACACAGAATTGTTACTCAGGGACAGACACAGAATTGTTTACTCTGGGACAGACACAGAATTGTTACTCAGGGACAGACACAGAATTGTTACTGAGGGACAGACACAGAATGTTTACTGAGGGACACAGAAATTGTTACTGAGGGACCACAGAATTGTTACTGAGGGACACAGAATTGTTACTCAAGGGACAGACACAGAATTGTTACTGAGGGACACAGAATTGTTACTCAAGAGGGACAGTCAACAGAATTGTTACTCAGGGACAGACACAGAATTGTTACTCAGGGACAGACACAGAATTGTTACTCAGGGACAGACACAGAATTGTTACTGAGGGACACAGCAAATTGTTACTGAGGGACACAAGAATTGTTACTCAGGGACACAGAATGTTACACAGAATTGTTACTCAGGGACACAGAATTGTTACTCAGGGACAGACACAGAATTGTTACTGAGGGAACACAGAATTGTTACTGAGGGACACAGAATTGTTACTCAGAATTGTTTACCTCAGGGACACAGAATTGTTACTCAGGGACACAGAATTGTTACTCAGGGGACACAGAATTGTTATCAGGGACACTTGGGGACACAGAATTGTTACTGAGGGACACCAGAATTGTTACTACAGGGACACAGAATTGTTATCAGGGACAGACACAGATATTGTTACTCAGGGACAGACACAGAATTGTTACTGAGGGACACAGAATTGTTACTGTAGGGACACAGAATTGTTACTCAGGGACAGACACAGAATTGTTACTCAGGGACAGACACAGAATTGTTACTGAGGGACACAGAATTGTTACTGAGGGACACAGAATTGTTACTCAGGGACAGACACAGAATTGTTACTGAGGGGACACAGAATTGTTACTGAGGGACACAGAATTGTTACTCAGGGGACACAGAATTGTTACTGAGGGACACAGAATTGTTACTGAGGGACACAGAATTGTTACTCAGGGACACTGAATTGTTACTCAGGGACAGACACAGAATTGTTTACTGAGGGACACAGAATTGTTACTGAGGGACACAGAATTGTTACTCAGGGGACAGACACAGAATTGTTACTCAGGGACAGACACAAAATTGTTACTGAGGGACACAGAATTGTTTACTGAGGGACACAGAATTGATATTACTGAGGGACACAGAATTGTTACTGAGGGACACAGAATTGTTACTCAGGGACAGACACAGAATTGTTACTGAGGGACACAGAATTGTTTATGAGGGACACTCAGAATTGTTTCTCAGGGACAAGACACAGGAAATTGTTACTGAAGGGACACAGAATTGTTATCTGAGGGGGTATACAGAATTGTTTACTCTGGGACACAGAATTGTTTACTCAAGGGACACAGAAATTGTTTACTCAGGGACCAGACTACAGAAATGTTACTGAGGGACACAGAATTGATACTGAGGGGACACAGAAATTGATTACTCAGGGACACACAGAATCGTTTATTTAAAAATTTATAGAGTATGTCAGACAACACGCAGAGTGAGTGGCAGAGGAGGCCAAATGTATGTCTTTAGGAGCGAGCAGACGTGGCAGCGGGAGGAAGGGGTGGACGGCAGCACTAAGTCGCAGACAGAAGGCCAGTGCCTCACGGTGTCATACAGCGGACGTGTCTCCACGGACAAGCCCTGCCATCATCGATTGGTTGGCTCGGTCCACCTTCCTCTCTTCCCAGGTCACCTCTGACACCTACAGCCAAAACGGTCGGTAGGGTACGTCAGACACACAACCGTTAGTTGGCATGGCCCGGGAGCGGGAGCAAGCCCACTGGAAAATCAGTGTCCTTCCTCTAACCCTTGCCCTGTCCTTTTAGGTGTTCCCTCACCCAAGCGAAAGTATCGCATGCTTGTGGGCTCAGCCCACTGTACATGTGAGGGAAAGAGCTAACCAGAGAGCGCGGTCAGGAACAGGGGAGGAGGGACATCCGCTCCTCTCAAGCGAGCAGGCGAAAGGAATAGTACTGGCGAGGAGGAGTGGCTCGGTAGCCTCGGTCTAGAGACAGGTCTGTCTCCTGACCCACACGCCAGCCGGAGGGGGCTAGTAGTGAGGCGGAAGGACCCTAATGATGATGATGAGGCTGATCGACACTTGGCAGCCTCGTGTCGTACCATCAGGGACTATTGCTTACCCGCTTCTCGCATCATCAGGAGAAGAGGGTGGCAGCTTGGTCAGCGAGCAAATAACAGTCGGTGGGTTGCCCAGGAGGCAAGACAGGGTCGCAGCAGTGTTCAGTGGAGGGCAAAACGGGCCACGGAGTTAGAGCACCAGCTCCACTGCAGCCTACCACACACGGCCAGTAGTGTTTGCGGTGTGTGCACGGAGGAAGTCAGGCAGTCAAGCCAGTGAGGAGTATCGGGGTGCAAAGTTTCCTAACTCGAGCGGGTGTGGCCCATTTTTTGTCAAGGGCCGCCCGAGAGAAAGTAAAACGTAAAGCCGATTATGTCGGACTATGTGGGCCAGAAAGTCAAGCGGTTGTGGCCAGGGGGGGCCCATGTTTGGGACTACAGCGATCGCGTCAGCATATGCTCAGCGTTGCCATTTGGTGGCTCTGGGAGGAAACACCGGTGATAAAGATACGGGCTGGTTCTGCCTGCCCCAGCCCACCGCTCCATCACCCGCTCAGTTACTTGCTCCGTCACCCGAAGTCAAATTTCGCCCTTCTATCAGCCAGTTCAAGGCTTCAAACAACCTCTGCTGTGGGGGAGTTGTCCGCTCGTTGGGCATTCTTCCCGCTCGTTCCAGATTGACTCCTATCTCCTGCTACTCCTGCTTCACAGAATTTCCGTCTAGCAGTCTTTTTGGAATCCTGTTTTCCAAGAGACAAACAGTTTGGCAGGAGGCAGCAACGCCGACTGGTTTTGCAAAAGCTGAACGTCCTCCTGTCCTAAGTTGATGGTGCGGCAGTACCATCCCTTTCCAAGTGGTGGAATTCTCAGCACCTTTCCTGAGAAATGATGGCTTGTGCCGCGCCTCGCGGGTTGTGGAGACGTGCCAAGCCGTCATTTCTTCACCAAAAAGGCAGTGCCATGCCCTGCATATTCCACATGTAGTAAGAGATGGTGGGCCAGTCTCTTGAGCATGTCAGGTCTCTGCCAATGTGTCAACGGGCAGCGCCGACGTGTGGAGCTTGTAACTTTACGGTTAGGGACCAGTTACATGTCATTTACGAGCCCCACCTGGGTGTAACGTGGTGCCGGCACAGCCGCAACCAGCAACTTGGACAGGGTACGCGTGCTTTTGCCTCCACGTTTGGCACGTCTTGCTTGGTTCCCACATAAAGATGTCCGCCTCTACCACCTCTTCTTCCGCCGTGTCCTCAGCCGCCACCCCCGTGCCAAGTCCCATTACACCGGACCGGCATATCACATGGTTGCAGGGACGCAAGCTGGTGTTCACGCTGTGCTGACAATGGTTATGCCTTGGCGAACTGTTATAGTCACACAGGGGGAGGAAACTTCTGAGTTGTATATGAACAGAGAAATCGATCAGATGGCTGTCTCTAGCGCAAACTGGAAAAATCGGAAACCATGTTGACCGGATACAACGGAAGGGAAAGAAAACATGGGTGTCTGTGCTGCTGCATCATGGAAGTTTGTGCCATGCGCCATGCATGGCCTCACGTGTTCAACTCTGGTTGTCAAAGCTGGGTTCCTAAAATCCACCTATCCCACTGCAAGGACATCCTTAAAATGTCACGTAGTAATCTTTGCATGCGTTTCAGCCTATTCCTTACACCGCAATAGCAACACCCCTCCTTGAGCTGAGCGGCCAAGCAGCCCAGAACGGAATTCCACAGGCATCGCCTCGTTCTGCACGACGTTTGCAACATAGGTGGAATTCAACCCTACACATTGTTAGTCCAGCCTTTGACGAACATGCTGGAAAAGGCCATCACACCGATTTCCTGATGGTTACACAGCGGATATAGGTACTCCCCCTGTGTCACCTTTCGATGTCTGCCATTGGCAGCTCATGCGTGACACCTGCCGCTTGCTGAGGCCCCTTTGGGAGGAGTGCCACGCTATTCGTGCGTGAGTCGGCCAGGACTATGGGGATGAACGACGTCATTCTCTTGTTGCACGTCCTGGAACAAACAAATTGCTTGTTAACAATGGCTGGTCAGTGCTGTACGTAGTCGTTGGCGCACAGACTCTCAACGCCACATGACCCCTGTGGGGGGCAGGGACAGGAAGAAGTAGGAAGGAGGGTAGAAGGAGGACATTGGTGCTCAGGAAATTTATTGAGTGAACTGGGTGGTTTTTTACACGCAGCGGGACAGGGAGTGAGGAGCCAGGAGCATCTGGTAGAGGAGGAGGAGTGAGGAGACAGAGGACCCCAGACGCACCGTGGCAGTATGCTGTGGAGATGGAGGCAGGACGAGAAGTTAGTTTAAGACAGGAGGAGATCTAAGGGGAGAGTAAAGGATAGCAGTTAAAGATGAGATCGGTAATAGGTCCAACAACTCGTAGAAATGGAACAAAGACGGTAAAAAAGAAGGGTGTCAGAGGAGGAAGTGCACTAAGATCCAGTTAAATCGTGGAGTAAAGTTGAAGCCGAGAGAGCAAGACCGGCATACATGAAATGAATAAATGATAACACGATCTATTGTCCCCTCGACATTCCTTGGCACAAATGGCCCATAGCATGCTCGGTTGCTTGCTCGTAGCGAACAGTTGGCCGGAATAATAACCATCAGACAGAGGAATGACTTTTGGGCTTGTCCACCTTGTTGGACCCTCGTACCGTTCAAAAATGGTGGCCTTTTTCACACCTGCTGAGAGGAGGCCAAAAAATAACCGTACTATAAAAACACCTATGTAGTCAGTTGGTCACTCTCGCCTTTCTGCCGGCCAACGTCCATTACTCAGGAACACTGTGGGCTCTGTGCGCTCGCATTCCGCTGCCATCGGCAGCATGGGCAGGGGAGGTGTGGTAGGAGCAGTGGCTAGCTCTCCACCAAAGCAGCGGCTTTTGCACTCAGTCTGCAGTCGATGATGAGTAGCTTTTCTTCACCAGCGCAGTGAGGATAACAAAAAAAAAAAAAAAAAAAATACTAAAACCAGCCGCTGCAGCAGCATCAGGTGACCTGGAGCAGGACCTCAAACAACAGGCTTGGGCCTACTTGGACAGCACCCTGCCAACCGAGGTAGACAATCCCCTTGACTACTGGGCAACGAAACTTGACCTTTGGCCCCAACTAGCTTAATAATTTGCCTTGAAAGGCTGTCATGCCCGGCCAGTAGTTGTGGCATCGGAGCGCGTGTTTTAGTGCGGCAGGAGGTATTGTAACTCCGCGGAGGACACGGACTGTCACCCTAAGTGTGGAGAGACTCACTTTTGTGAAATGAATCAGGCGTGGATTAGTCCTGGATTTCAAACCACCAGTTCTGACACAACTGACTAAATCCGCCATGAATCCATGCCCCAAACATGTTAACTCTGCCATGTGGCCACTTTCAGGTCTCCTCACACTGCTGGTGTGTTCCTTTTTGTCATAGGGTGCTGGCAGATTCGGGCCTCCCATTGCTGCTGCCAGGCCCGTAATCTGCCAATGGGCCCCCCGTACCGCCTCCTCATGCTGCTTGCCCGCCAGGTCCAGAGTCTCTCATGGGTCCCTGTACGGCCTCCCCATTGCTGCTGCCTCATCGCCACACTCTGCCATGTGCCACTTTCAGGTCTCCTCACACTGCTGGTGTGTTCCCATTTTGTCATAGGGTGCTGGCAGATTACGGGCCTCCCATTGCTGCTGCCAGGGCCGTAATCTGCATGGGCTCCCTGTACCGCCTCCTCATGCTGCTGCAGGGTACAGAGTGTCTAATGGGTCCCCTGTACGGCCCTACCATTGCTGCCTGGTCTCCATCGCCACACTCTGCCGATGTGCCACTTTCAGGTCTCCTCACATGCTGGTGTGTTCCATTTTGTCATAGGGTGCTGGTTGGCAGATTACGGGCCTCCCATTTGCTGCTGCCAGGCCCGTAATCTGCCATGGGCCCCTGTACCGCCTCCTCATGCTGCTGCCAGGTTCCAGAGTGTCTGTATATGGGTCCCTGTACGGACTCCCATTGCTTTGACTGTCTCCATCGGCACCACTGGTGCCATGTGCCACTTTCAGGTCTCCTCACACTGCTGGTGTGTTCCATTTTGTCATAGGGTGCTGGCAGATTACAGGCCTCTCATTGCTGCTGCCAGGCCCGGTAATCTGCGCCATGGGCCCCCGTTACCGCCTCCTCATGCTTGCTGCCAGTGTCCAGGGAGTCTCTCTCATGAGGTCCCTGTTACGGCCTTCCATTGCTTGCTGTCTCCATCGCCCACACTGTGCCATGTCGCCACTTTCAGGTCTACTCACAATGATGTGTGTGTTCCATTTTTGTCATAGGGTGCTTGGCAGATTACGGGCCTACCATTGCTGCTGCCAGGCCCGTAATCTGCCATGGGCCCCCGTACCGCCTCCTCATGCTGCTGCCAGGTCAGAGTGTCTCTAATTGGGTCCCTGTACGGCCTCCCATTGCTGCTGTCTCCATCGCCACACTCTGCCATGTGCCTCTTTCAGGTCTCCTCACACTGTTTGGTGTGTTCCATTTTGTCATAGGGTGCTGGCAGAATTACGGGCCTCCCATTGCTGCTGCTGCCAGGTCCCCGTTTAATCCTGCCAGGGCCCCCGTACCAGCTCCTCATGCTGCTGCCAGGTCCAGAGTCTCTCATGGGTCCCTGTACGGCCTCCCATTGCTGCTGCCTCCTCCATCGCCACACTCTGCCCATGTGCCACTTTCAGGTCTCCTCACATGCTGCCACGTTGTGTTCCATTTTTCATAGGTGTGGCTTGGCAGGATTACGGCCTCCCCATTGCTGCTGCCAGGCCCGGTAATCTGCCATGGGCCCCTGTACCGATCTCTCATGCTGCTGCCAGGTACAGAGTGTCTGTAATGGGTCCTGTACGGGCCTCCCATGTGCTGCTGTCTCCATGCCACACTCTGCAGTGCTGTGGCCATTTTTTCAGGTCTCGGGCTCATACATGCTAGGCTAATCTGGGTTCCATTTTGTCATAGGAGGTGCCTGGCAGAGATTTCGGGCCTTTTTCCCATTGCTGCTACCAGGCACGTAATCTGCCATGGGGCCACTGTACCGCCTCTCCTCATGCTGCTGTGCCAGGTCCTGCAGTCTCTCATGGGTCCCTATACAGGCTCACCATGTGCTTTGCTGGTCTCCATCGCCACACTGTGCCTGCCATGTGCCACTTTCAGGTCTTCCTACAACTGACTGGTGTGTTCACATTTTGTCATAGGGTGCTGTGGCTAGATTTAGAGGCCTCCCATTGCTGCTGCCAGGCCCGTAATTCTGCCATGGGCCCCTGTAGCGCCTCTCCATGCTGCTTGCCAGGTCCAGAGTCTTCATGGGTCCTGTACGGCCTCCCATTGCGTGCTGTTCTCCATCGCCCACACTTGTGCCATGTGCACTTTCAGGTCTCTCACTCACATGTGGTGCTGTTCCATTTTGACTATTCATAGGGTGCTGGCAGATTACGGGCCTCCATTGCCAGGCTGCCAGGCCGTATACCGCTCTCATCTGCCATGGGCCCCCGTAGGCCGCCTCCTCACATGCTGGTGTGTTCTGCCCAGGTCCAGAGTCTGGGCCTTCATGCTGGTGCCAGGCCCTTCTACATGGGCCTCCCATTGCTCCTGCTGTCTCCATCGTCACACTGTCTGTGCCATGTGCACTTTCAGTCTCCTCACACTGCTGGTGTGTTCATTTTGTCATAGGGTTGCTGGCAGATTATGGGCTCCCATTGCTGCTGCCAGGCCTGTAATCTGCCATGGGCCCCTGTACCGCCTCCTCATGCTGCTGCCAGGTCCAGGAGTGTCTAATGGGTCCCTGTACGGCCTCCTTGCTGCTGTCTCCATCGGCCACACTCTGCCATTGTGCCACTTTCAGGTCTCCTCACATGCTGGTGTGTTCCATTTGTTGTGGGTATAGGTGTGGCTGGCAGAGATTACGGGCCTCCATGTGTGCTGCAGGCCCGTAATCTGCCATGGGCCCCTGTACCGCCTCCTCATGCTGCTGTGCCAAGTCCAGAGTGCTCTCATGGGTCCCTATACGGCTCCCATTGCTGCTGTCTCCATCGCCCACACTCTGCCATGTGCCACTTTCAGGTCTCCTCACACTGCTGGTGTGTTTCCATTTGTCACTAGGGTGCTGGCAGATTTCGGGCTCCCTCATTGCTGCTGCCAGGCCCGTAATCTGCCATGGGCCCCGTACCGCCTCCTCATGCTGCTGCCAGGTCCAGAGTCATCTCATGGGTCCCTGTACGGCCTCCATTGCTGCTGTCGTCCATCGCCACACTCTGCCATGTGCCCACTTTTAGGTCTCCTCACAACATGCTGGTGTGATGTTCCATTTTGTCATAGGTGCTGGCAGATTACAGGCCTCCCATTGCTGCTGCCAGGCCGTTATCTGCCATGGGCCCCCGTACCGCCTACTCATGCTGCTGCCAGGTCCAGAAGTCTCTCATGGGCCCTGTACGGCCTCCCATTGCTGCTGTCTCCATCGCCACACTCTGCCATGTGCACTTTCAGGTCTCCTCACATGCTGGATGGTGTGTTCCTTTTTGTCATAGGGTGCTGGCAGATTACGGGGGCCTCCATTGCTGCTGCCATGGAGCAGTTAATCTGCCATAGGCCCCTGTACCGGCCTCCTCATGCTGCGTGACAGGTCCAGAGTTCTCATGGGGTCCCTGTCCCCTACAGGCCTCCCATTGCTGCTTGCCTCTAATCGCCACACTCTGCCATGTGCCACTTTCAGGTCTCCTCACACTGCTGGTGTGTCCCATTTTGTCATAGGGTGCTGGCAGATTACCGGGCCTCCATGCTGCTGCCAGGCCCGTTAATCTGCCATGGCCCCGTACCGCCTCCCTCATGCTGCTGCCAGGTCCAGAGTCTCTCATGGGTCCCTGTACGGCCTCTCCATTGCTGCTGTCTCCATCGCCACACTCTGCCATGTGCCACTTTCATGGTCTCTACTCACACTGTGGGGCTGGTGTGGTCCTGTGTTCCATTTTGTCCTAGGGGTGCTGGCAGATAACGGGGCCTCCCATTTGCTGCTGCAGGCCTGTATTCTGCCATGGGCCTCTGTTACCCCCCCTCCTGCCCGCTGCCAGGTTTCCCGAGTGTCTAATGGGTCCCTGTAGGCCTCCCCTTGCTGCTGTTCCCTCGCCCACTCTGCCCTGTGCCACTTTTTTAGGTTTTTCCCCACACTGGGGTGGTGTGTTTTCCCTTTTTGTCATAGGGTTTCTGGAGATTAGGGCCCCCCATTGCTGCTGCCGGCCCGTAATTGCCCGGGGCCCCGTACCCCCTCCTCATGCTGCTTTCCCGGTCCAGAGTGTTTTAAAGGGTTTCCCCCTACGGCCTCCCCTTGCTTTCTGTCTTTCCCTCGCCAACTCTGCCCTGTGCCCCTTTAGGTCTCCTCACATGTGGTGTGTTCCATTTTGGTATAGGGTGCTGGAAGGGTTTTCGGGACTCCCATTGCTGCTTTTCCAGGCCCTAATCTGCCCTGGGGCCCCCAAATTTCCCCCTCCTCATGCTGCTGCCCGGTCCAGAGTTTCTCATGGGTCCTGTAGGGCCCCCCATTTGTGTGTCTCCATCCCCCACACTCTGCCATGTGCCACTTTCAGGTCTCCTCACATTTCTGGGGTGTTCCATTTTTGTCATAGGGTGCTGGCAGATTACGGGCCTCCCATTGCTGCTGCCAGGCCGTAATCTGCCATGGGCCCCGTACCGCCTCCTCATGCTGCTGCCAGGTCCAGTGTCTTCATGGGTCCCTGTACGGCCTCCCATTGCTGCTGTCTTTCCCTCGCCACACTCTGCCATGTGCCACTTTCAGGTCTCCTCACACTGCTGGTGTGTTCCATTTTGGTCATAGGGTGCTGGCAGATTACGGGCCTCCCATTGCTGCTGCCAGGCCCTAATCTGCCCTGGGCCCCGTTACCGCCTCCTCATGCTGCTGCCAGGTCCAGATTTCTCATGGGTCCTGTAGGGGCCTCCCCTTGTGCTGTCTCCATCGCCACACCTGCCATGTGCCCCCTTTCAGGTCTCCCACATGCTGGTGTGTTCCCTTTTTTTCAGGGTGTGGCAGATTACGGGCCTCCCATTGCTCTGCCAGGCCCTAATCTGCCTGGGGCCCCCCTACCCCCTCTCATCTGTGCGGTCCAAGTTTAAAGGGGGCCCCTGACGGGGCCTCCCATTCTGTGTTCCATGAAATCCC